TCCTACTCTTCTTTGATTTCATGGGATCCACAATTTGTTTTAGAATTACATTTTTATATCACAGTATTTTTTGCTGGAGATATTTCTCATTTCACCTTGAAATGAATTTTACTCTGAGCTATAGTTATATAACTGCTTGATCTTTGCTTTTTTCTTTGGAATATTTTTTTAAGAGTAGTTACTTGTTTTTACCTGTACCAGTAATTCACTTTTGCATTTAAATACATTCTTGAGTTCCCAGTAAGAATAAATCTTACTTTCACCGAAAGTGAAAAAATTATGAGAAGTGCAAAAATCTTCTTGTACTATCGTTATGAATACCGATTCACATCTCATTATAGAATGAAATTTAAAGAATATCTTGTAAGAAGTCACTATGGGACAAATAAGTGGGGTTTTGTATGTTAGATGAGAAAAAACAATTTAGAAAATAGCTAGAGAAGTTGTGCTTTGGATAATTTTTGGCCTTTACAAAGAACAGTTTGATGATTCTCTCACATAAGGGCCTGGACTAAATATTTCACTGTCTTTCTGGATGTAAGATTACAGAAATTGTGTGTTACTATTTTTGCAGTCTATTTCAAATCCCACCGGGTCTCCTTTGTCCTTTCTAGAAGATTTTACTTATTAATATTTCATTTCATAAATTTAATGATAGCCCAACGTTTTTCAAAAATGGTTTTTGCCTCATTTCTAAAACAAAATGAAATGCCGGTTTAATATAAAGAAGATCCCGTTGGGGGACCCCAGCCCTGATCATGCTGGTTCAGAGCTTTCCTGAAGACTCTGTCCTAAATCTCCTCTCGGGTTCTGACTCTCCCTGGGTGCTTCTTTTTGTCCTTAGGACTTAAGGCTTCCACTCTAAATCTCCAACTGTCATTTATCAGTCTTTCTTTTTTTCCAAAACACGGGATTTTACATATGCAAGCTATGTTCTCTTTCTCCGAGCTACCCAAACAACCAGTCCCTTGGAACAGAAGTCATATAATTTCTGTATTTTCCTACCTGGAATTTTAGTTGACACCTCAAACACATTGGTTTGCACCCAAAAGCTATCTAAGTTCTTTATAAAATGTACCTCATTATCCCAAGAGATAGTGTGGGGCTAAAGACACTTACATTGCATGCAGCTGGCCTCCATTTGATCCTTTGCACCACATATGGACCACCAAGCCTTACTAGCAGTGATCCCTGATTGCAGAGTCAGAATGAGCCATGAGCACTGCAAGGTGTGCCTTGCCAGTTCCCCACTGCCAATCTACCTCGCATATTGGTTTGTTCAAAAGTTCCCAGAATGATTCAGTCTTTAGAAATATATTAATATATTCCACCCATATTAAACTCTCCGAGAGGGGATAGAAACCATGGGGTTATCTACAAAGTTTCTGGAAAAGTAGAGAAGTCAGCTTCTTTTTTGACAATCCCCACATCATAGAGATTATTTTTTAAGTAATTGGTGAATACTGTGAAAAAGTTATAGATATCTAGAAAGTACTAACCACCATTTTATTAAATGAAAATAAGATAATAAACTGTATCACAAATTGCAAGCAAATTTAAAGTGAGCAAAAGAAAGACAGGCCAGGTATTGTCACCTGAAATTTTTTTTCTCAGTTTCTCTTCTTTTGGGAAAAGAATAGAATCATCTTATGCTCTGAGAAGATTCTGTATGAGGCAAAGAGAGGAAATCTTGCAGTCAGCTGTACATTGAGTTTATGGAGATAGAGTCCATCTTATTTCTGGTTCTCTTACTAACAAGCTTAGGTTTGGAATCTATGTTACATGGTTTTTGAACAGTAATAACTTGTAATTGATTCTTTTACAGTGTATCTCATTAAGTCTCCTAAGCTTACTGTATTTGGAAATAGAAAGCAATCTCAAGTCATAGCAAATTAATTTTCTAGCTCTCCTCTCTCTATGTGGTTGTAAGAAAATCTCAAGAAATGATGTTAGATGTTAAATTCTTATTTTCAAACATTATTTTAATGAACATCTTACCATTATTTTTAGCAGCCTTTAGATGACATCCCTTGCTATCAAAATACCAATGGAATTTTTCAGGGAAATATTTAGAACAAACAATTCTAAAATTGTTATGAAATCACAAAAGACCTCAAAGAGTCAAAACGGTTCTGAGATAATAGAAGAAAAGTTCAATTCTCTGATTTCAAGATATATTGAAAAGCTATAATAATTAAAACAGTATGGTATTATAATGAAAAATAGGCACACAGACAAGTAGAGTAAAATAGGGAGCTCATAATCAAATCCATACATTATACATAGGTATCTAATCTTTAACAGAGATGCCAAGTCTATATAATGGAGAACGAAAAACCTCTTCAACAACTGGTGTCTGTAAAATTAGATTGATACATGAAGAAAAATAGAACTAGACCACTTAGCCACTATTTCATACCATATGCATAATTTGACTCCAAATATATTAAAGTCGTGGATATCAGACCCCAAATCATAAATTATATAGCAAAAAAAAGTGTAATGCCTCTAGGAGTGCAACATCAGAGATGTTTTTAGAGACTAAACTCCAGCAATAACAGAAGCAGAACCAAAAATAAACAAATGAGTTGGCATGAAATGAAACATTTTCTGTATTGTGAAAAAAACTACCACAAAAAAGCCACGTTAGTAATTTCAAGATATTTGCTCACCTACAGACTGGCCTACAGCCATGTAGATAAACGTGGAAGATCACTCCCTGCTAAGGAAATGCAGGTCAGAACCACAATGGCACATTGTACCCAGGAGAGTGGCCTGTGGTTGAAAGATTGGAAACAACAAAGGCAGACAAGTATGTGGAATAGAAAAGATTCTGTCACATTGTTGGAGTAGGTTTAAATAGATGCATCTCCTGTGGGGGAAAAAAAGCTAAGGATTCCTTAATAAAATAAAGCTGGAAATACACTATGCCGCAGTACTGCTAGGCATTTATCTGAAATCCAACTTCAGAAGGATATTTATTTGCACCTCTGTGTTAATAGCAACATTTATTGCAGAGGGATCAGTGTCAGTGCCCATCCACAGAGCACAGGACAAAGAATGTGCTCACTGAAATGCTAAATTGCCATATCAAAAAGTAAATATGTGCTTTTGGGGACAAAATATGCAAAACTTGAAGTGATTATGCTAAGTGAAATAAGGTAAGGAAGTAAAGATAATTATGGATTTTTTTCCCCCGTGGGTGGATCGTAAGTAACAAAAGCAAATAAAAACTGGCAAAGCTAACCCCTAAACTTGGTAGAAACCATGGTGCTCATGAAGAGCAAGGAGTGGTTGAAGAGAATGGGGAGAGCAATCTTTTCTGTGTTGAAATGGTGCCAGGCCTTGGGTAAGGGACATGTGAACCCTATGCACATTAGCGATACCCCTCAACTTCCATAATGTTAAACCAATAAGAAGGGGGGAATGAACTATTTTCCCCCTCAAGTTCTATAATGTTAAACTAATAAGAAAGTGGGGAAATTGAATTATTTTCTGTGAAATGAATTCAATGGTATTTTTGTTTCCCCTGAAAGTTGAGACTTAATAACTATTAGTAAGTGTCCTGTTCTCTCATCAACCAATCTTGCATTCCACATATGTACTTTGTTGTAGAACTTCTTTTATAAATAAATCCTAGATATGTGAGTGATTTGTGTGTGTGTGTGTGTGTGTGTGTGTGGTTTTGGGGCCACACTCAGTAGTGCACAGGGCTAATTCCTAGCTCAGTGCTTAGGGATCACATCTGGCAGTGCTCAGGGAACTGTACATAGAGCCAGAGATCAAACTCAGGTCAGCCATATGCAAGGCATGCAAGTGCCATAACCCCTGTCCTATCTCTCTGGCTCCTAGGAATGACTGTAATGATTGTTTAATCATATTTGCCAAATGGTTAAAAATAGCCTGAAAGATGCTGTTTGGGGTCCTGAGAGATAGTACAGTGGGCAGGGCACTTTCCTTGCATGGTCCAATCCATGGCATCCATATGGTTCCTGAACTGAGCTAGGAGTGATTCCTGAGTGCAGAAACAGGAGTAAACCTGAGTACAGCCAGGTGTGACTCAAAAAACCAGAAAGCTAGATAGATAGATAGATAGATAGATAGATAGATAGATAGATAGATAGATAGATGATGTCTTGCCAACACCCGAAATTTCTGATCATTTTAGGCCACATTGGGTCTTTATGGGAAGGATGAATGGAAAGTTCCCAGTAGAACAGTATGTTGTATGTTTGAATATGGATCAAAGAGAACCAGTCCCTCCCAAATCTATAAAAACTCTTTCTCCATTTCAACCATAAGTTACTGTCTTAGTTTTCCTTTGTTTTAGTCCTGAGCTGATTTTTATTTGAATGTGTTCAGCCACCCTTAGAATGAGAAAAGGAGGAATGGCACTCATAAACTTCCATATCCTTTTAACAAGTACACAATGTGTATCCAAGACCATTAATTTTCACTTTTCTATATGTTTATAAAGAGATACTTTCTACATTTAGCTCCTTTTTTAAAGTAATTTCTCAGTATCACACTGCGGTGAGTATTGTTATTTTACAGTGGTAATATAATAAATCAGAGTTTTGAATACTTTTGCTCATGTTTCTTTCCACTCATGTGGCTTCTGTTTCAGTACAAAGGTTTTATATTCTCAGTACTTCGTTGTACTCTGGAAGGAAATATATTGTGAATACGTAAGCCTGAAGCTTCCCTTTTATACCCATATAATGCTCTTATCATTTAAAAAGTGTCTTTCATCAGCACATCTGTATGCATATTATTTAGCCTGTTATTGTTTCAAAGGTCTGTTATGTAATCGTTACTATTCTTCTACATTAAATTATCAAATCATTCTCATCTCAAAGAATAAGATAGAAGCAGGAAATTCTTTTATAAGAGTTACGACCTCCTTGTTAGACAGCTCTTCGAATTATTTAGGCAGATGTGACATTTGCACACAAAAGTGTAACGATTATTCACATTCGTGTGTCATTTTCTCCCAACAGTTGACTTCAAGCCTCATGCCAGCATGGATACTGTCCACCATATGTTACTTTTTGGATGTGATATGCCTTCCTCCACTGGGAGTTACTGGTAAGGGCTAGTAGGCTCATAGTACAAAGGAGTATGGAAAATGTGGTTATTCTAAATATTAGAAAGCTGCTACACACGTGTTTTATAGATGATTAATAAATAGGCAGAATATTTTTCTCTAGACAGAACATCATTCTTTTGCATCTCATGATTATGGTATTTTGATTATCATAGTTGCCTAGCATGCAAATCCATCCATCTTTGTCACTGACTTAATAAACTTCTGTCTGTTGTTATAGATATTGTGTCAAGGTACAGATGGCAAGAAGAAAGACAAACAATGCACATATTGCCTACTCTGGTTATATATATTTTTAATTTCGTGACTCGATTCTTAGAGCATAGTGGCTTTGTTATATGAGCACTCCTTTGTTCTGGACTTGGTGACTGGCACATATCATTTCATTTCACCCTCGATTTCTACAAGGACACCATTGTTACCCACACTGCACGCATGGAGCCCGAAGCTCAGAGATGTGGCCGCTTGCTCCTGGGGGCACCATTGATTTGTCTCAGACCAAGTGTCTGGTTTCCATTTTCTCATGCTGCTTCCCACATATTCAAGTAACTGTTGCAGTTTTAGAATTTATTTTAATCATTGTGGTGAGTCTTAATATGTCATGAGCAATCAATAAACATCTATTAAATGCTTGTTACATGCCAGAGCTGTAACAAATGCCGTGGGAGACTCCAGGATTAATAGATCTGTCTTCTACCCTCAGAAACTTACAGCATAATCATGGCTTGAGATCTTCCCATTTATTCAGTTCCTTGATATTTACAGAAGTGGACTTTAAAAATGCCAGGCGGGGCAGCAGGGGGTATAGCTCAAAGGACAGATACATGTGTCAAGGATGAGTCTTTGAGTTTGATCCCCAGTACCATGTGATTTCCCAGTACAGTCAGGTGTTTCCCCTATTTAAAAACAAACAAACAAACAAACATCCACTTAAAGCCTTCTACTGTGCCCCTCTCACCAAAATCATTGTTATGTATTTAATAGTCCAGAATGGCTAGGTTGTCTCTCTTGGCTTGACTTGACTTGGCTTGGGGGAGAGATTTGTGTCTCTCCTTGTCTCCACATAATCATGTGGAATGACAGAGCTTTTCTCTGTGCCTCTGAATATTTATTAGACTGCTGTGCTTCACATCTAATGTGCATCTGCTATCTAGTCATTTTTATAACAAACAATTGTAATATGTGCTTGGAACAGTTAAAAGCACAGGGCAATTAGTGGAACTCTCCATGGACCACGTCCCATTAACGTATTTGTTAATAGGCTTAAGTTATTTGATGAAAGAAGCATATCAAGTTGAAATCTAACTCATCACACTGAGTTTTCTGTAAAAAGTGGAGTCAGCAAAGTGGATGGGTTACACTTCGATATCAAGATCCCAGTTCCTGCCATCCAGTACATTTTTGCAAGTAAAATTATTTTTTATTGAAATATCTATTTATTTAATAATTATTTTATTTATGTCAGATTACCGTCCGACAGCTTTATTTTTGCATCTTATTCTGAAATCATCTTTTGGTGTGTAGCTTTAAAAATATTCCTTCTGCAATTAGCAATACTTGCCTTTTAATTTTGAATTAGTGAAAATAGCTAGAAGGGAATTTCCACTGTCCACTGTCCACTGTCCTCCCGTTGTTTATCAATTTGCTCAAGTGAGCACCAGTAACATCTCACAACAAATTGTGAGATTTCTTGTTACTGTGTTTGGCATATCGAATACGTCACAGGTAGCTTGCCAGGCTTTGCCGTGTGGGCGAGATACTCTCGGTAGCTTGCCAGGCTCTCCAAGAGGGGTGGAGGAATCAAACCCGGTCGGCCACGTGCAAGGCAAATGCCCTATCCACTGTGCTATCACTCCAGCCTTTAAAATCTGCCTTTTTTGTTTTCTTACTTTTTATTTTGTTTAGGCGGCACAACCCATGTCACTAAGAGGTTACTCCTTGTCCTGCTGACATGTTTCTGGGGGACATGCATTAACAGACACTGAACCTGAGACTCATGTATGTGTAGCATGCACTCCAGTCCATTGAACACAGTTCCTCCTCTAAACTGATGTCAGAATTAATTGTATTGAAATAAAATTGCACTATGATATGTGCTGGGTATGCATGATTATCAATCAGTATGTGTATAAGGATCACATTAATCTCACCTCTAAAAGTACAATTCTGTTTCTCACCATATAGTTGATACTTTAACTTGATTCATCTACCATCCTTCCCCACTGATAACTGTTACTTTAGTCTTATAGTTGAAACATTTACTTTTGCTCTACTTAATTATTCATCTCTAATTGTATGAATGAACTCGTGTGTTTTGTTTGATTTGTTTTTAAGCAAAATCATTTTGTCTTGTTTTCTTGGTTTTGTTGTTGTTTGGGGTGCTGAGCGACACTTCTCGAGGTGCTCAGGGATCACTCTTAGTACTCAGGGAACCATATGTGATGCTGGGGATTGAATCCAGATCAGCACATAGAAGACAAGTGCCCTGCCTACTGTACTTTTTAATTCGCAATTTTTTTCTTGCTTTTTGGGTTACACCCAAAGGGGTTACTCCTGGCTCATGCGCTCAGGAATTACTCCTGGCAGTGCTCGGGGAACCATATGGGATGCTGGGAATCGAACCTGGGTTGGCCGCGTGAAAGGCAAATACCCTACCTGCTGTTGCTCCAGCCCCATTAATTAGTAATTTTTATTGAAAGAAATTTAAAGAGGTGTGAGGGGGAGAAAGAGAGAGAGAGAGGTACATGTTCAAGAATGTTTTTTTAAATAAATTATTTCTACATGAAGTTCCTTTATCTTATAAAAGACTTTCAAGTTGAGAGCAATTAGAATAAAACTGGAAATGAAAAGTTAAAGTAATAATATTGGGTAAATAATTGGAGAAAATAATCTTCATTACAAATTGTTTTGCTAAAATTATTACTTAAAAGACAGTATATAGTAGAGTGAAATAGTAGTGTACTTTCTGAATTCCTTCTGTAAATTATTTAACCCAGTGAACTGAAAACCCAGTAAACTATAGCACGATATTTTATTTTATATGTATTGGTTTGGGGGCCACACCAACGGGTGCTCAGGGTTTACTCTTGACTGTGCTAGGGGATCACTGTGGTTTGGACTCAGGGAACCACATGGGGTGCTGGGGATCAATCCTGGGACCGCCACATGCAAGGCAAGTGCCTTTGCCACTGGAATATCTTTTCAGTCCCCTTGGTTAGTAGTTTGAGGTGCTAATATGTCAGGGGCAGCTTGCCAGGCTTTGCCGTGCGGGCGAGATACTCTCGGTAGCTTTCCGGGCTCTCAGAGAGAGGTGGAGGAATCGAACTCGGGTGGGCCATATTGGCCACTTACAAGGCAAATGCCCTACCCACTGTGCTATCGCTCCAGCCCATGACCCAGAAAACAAAGCCAAAAAGTATTTCCTTTGTTGCAGACTTAAAAAATTTCACTTAATCACCAAAAGCTTGTGTATGTTATTTTCCTTCATTTTCAAGGTAAAACATTTTTACTAGGCTCACTATTGCTGCTGCCAGTGGTGGTGGGCTGCAGTATCTTTTTTGAGGTCTCACCCAGTGATGGTCATGGGTCACTCCCAGACAGTGCTCAGGGGTCACTCCTGGTGGTGATGTTGGGGAGGGGGGCAGAGTCTAGCCTCCTTCCTGAAAAACTTGCACTCTAGTCATTTGGGTCATCTCCTTGGCCTCTTGGAAAGATTTAAGGTAATATATTTATACTCCTTAGTAACTTAATACGATCACGGCGAATAACTTAATGCGGCTGGCATGGCTGACGCAGGTTCGATTCCTCCGCCCCTCTCGGAGAGCCAGGCAAGCTACCGAGAGCCTGGCAAGTTCCCTGTGATGTATTCGATATGCCAAACACAGTAACAACAAGTCTCACAATGGAGACATTACTGGGCCCTCTTGCTCGAGCCTGTCACATGAAGGTCGAGAGTTGAAAAATACTGAGGCACTGAGAAGATCCTGACAGCTCTGCTATTAGGGAGCCCCAGTGAAAGCTGACCTAGAAGACAGTCCAGTGGCTGTATGAATCTCCCAGGACAAACATGGGATCACAAGCCCTGTCCCTGCCAGCTCCACTGCCTGGGGGTCCCTGAGGAAAGAGTGAAGAGCTTATCTCACCTGGAACAGCCTCCCCTTCTTCCTCTTACCAAGAGACTAACGCTAAACTAGCTATGTGCACCCTAGAATTCCATCATTCTGTGACTGTACATTGCACGTTGAATGGGATTGGAAGGGTGTCCTTAGTGAGAGTTGGAGAATGAAAATCCACATTGGTCTCCTCATCACAAACAGGCAATCCTCAGTGTTTGCCCCTGAAGTATTCCTGATTCATTATGCTCATGTCATTTGTATTGGTGGGGTTGGTGGATGGGGAGGGGTCACTCCTGGCAGTATTCAGGGCTTGCTCCTGGCTCTGCACTCTGGAGTCACTCCTGCCAGGGCTCAGGGGATGAACAGGGATCATTCAAGTTTAAGGCAAGCACACTAGCCACTGCCCCTTATCCAACCCTATGCCTATGACATTTTAAATGCATTTTAAAAATTTGTCATATGGCCTATATTTCTACTTAATATATGTCTTTGTTATATTTGTCTTGATATCTATCCATACAAGAAAAAACAGTAATTGATACTTATTCATCTTCTTTTAACCAAGCCCAGTTTGTTCATCTAATGTATAAAGATAAGGATCCTCTTACTATATATTTGTAGGATCAGTTTAGCATGCAAACTAGGTGAAGTGTATTTAGTAAAACTGACACGGATTTTCATAATCCAGCCCTATTTTTCCATATAGAGGTGGTAAAGCCTGTCATCCGCTCCGCCCCCCCCCCCCCCAGTATTTGGCAAAATTCATCTTATTAAACCATAGTGTTCTCAGAAACACCCTCTGCTCCTCCATACCGCCCAGCTCAACTCTGTAGTTCATGCTGGATATTTGCCAGCCCCTGGGTTCT